TTATTACCCACGTGTTCAACGTATGGGTAGGTGCATTCTATTCTCGTACGTCACACGAGTTTCGTATCGCGTTGACCTGTGTCGTAATGATTTGACCTGGCATTATAACGATTTGATTGATAACCGATGACCACTCAGTTAGGTCATGTTGTGACGGAACTACTTTCTTAGTCATAACAAACACGTGAATTCATTCATTCTACAATATTTACTTCTGTCATCATCATTCGGTCAATCACATGATCGTGATTGCTGGAAACTATTACCAAAAACACAAATGTTGAATATTAAATCTACAAGAACATGAGTATACCTTTCAATCACAATCTCTAATATACTTTTACAGTTTTGCCTAATAAATAAAAAGTTCGTCTGTTGTGTTAATGGACTCCGTCAAAATCGATGGAACAAATCCGATGGAGAGTCACTACCATCAAAGTTAAACCTCTCGGTACATTCATTTTTTTCAATGTCAAAAATTTGATGGCGAAATAAGTCAAGAGTACACAGACACAGACTTACTGTGGTTCCTGAAACTGTATCATTGGCCCCTCCGACTAACTATGATTAGCTTTCCCTACCGAGGATATTTGGAAGTATTGATGAAGATGATACTTTGAGGAGGAGGTAAATGATGAAAGTTCTTCAACTATGATTGCTCAACCATTGAACATTGAAGTTCATGAAGTCAAATGTACGACACAAGACCAGTTGAAACAATATACCCCGCCAGAACTGTACATGACATTTTGTGCACCTTTTTCATTGAAGTAAAGAAATCTTACGGCGAGGGTTATGCGGAGTCCATCTCACTTTACATCAAAACTGTCGAGTTTTGACAGATATTTGAAAGCTAGGGTTGGAAAGGTCCCGTTTACTGAATGACAGGGAATTCTCCAAACTACGCGAGGTTCTTCTACCAACTACAGATCCTGAAGCGTGAGGGGCTCGGCAACGTACCTAATTAGGGCTGGAAGTCTGTCACCAGGGTGAAATCCAAACACTCTGGGTAGACGATTTCGAAAAATTAGGTCCCAGTAATCCAGAGGCGATATAAAACACATTGTGGTGGAACAATACCAGAGCATTTTGGCATCCGAAGTGTTAAACCACATCCTTGATGAGATGAGAGGACATTCCAAGTGAAAACAAAATTCTGATTGAGAGGAGTTTTGGAGTATAATGAACGCCAAACCAAAACCCGCACCAGCAATGACATCCGCAACGTCGGAGACGTCGCTCCCGCGTGCATGGGCCATTAACGACGCTAGCTGTCCCGTATCCCTGTTCAAGCATTCGTCACCACCTTCCGCCCCTTTCCGTAACCTGTAAGAAGACTTGTGTCCCTCTCGATGCTTGTTATGTTGCGAAAATACGACAAACCCAACCAGGAAACGCAAAATGATCAAGCTGCTGGTAAAAATAATCCTGAGTACTTAAATCGTTAAATTACATTATGTCACGGCTTAAAAAATCATGAAAAATATATATATTGAAAATTACAAAGAACTTAGCTAACAAGATTTCGCTGCCTATTATGGTATTTTTGTTAAGAATCATGCGATTGACGGCGAGAGATTCAAACACAATGCACGTGCGTTTTGTTGACATAACGGCTCTTAATAATCCAAAATGAGGGTGTTTATGACGATATTGCGGAGAAACTTGCTATGAAAAATTGTGTAATGTGCTTCAACAATTTTAGGAAATGCAATTTTTAAATCGCCACGTGTTTCAAAACAATAATATTATATCCGTATGTAACTAATCAACTTCAATGTTTAACATCTGGCACACATATCACATATCTGGGATTATTGTAGTCTCGACCTTCTTGCGGTCATTCATATATTTTCAGAGAAATTCAGTTAAAAGTCCACTTATTGGTACGAGACACAGAGCAAGGCTACAGGTATGTTCAGCTTCTGAGAAATATTATAAAAGTCATTTTTGAGTTTCTGCTTTGAAGTTTAATGTTGCGAGGTTTTGTTTACGAAATTTTATTTGCATATTCAATAAAACAAATCCCTTTTGTGATTATTAAACCCTTTTCAAATAATATAATTGAGAATATAAGGCGAATATCTGGTAATAGTTACGTCGTAGAATATGTCTTTAACTTCAATATGTTTTTTCCCCATCTTTTTTAGTTGTACCAAGGAGGTTTCATTCTTTAAGAATAAATAGCAAACACAAAACAGCCATACAATGTATGAGTAAGCACACTTCGCTTAAGTACCATTGGAGATGAAACAAGGAATATATCGTTAAGGTTTGCTGTTCAAGTTGTACGCCAGTCTTCGTCCTAGAGATTACTGCTCTCCTGACACGCCTTTCTATTTGGCCACAAATTCAAAGTTAGTTCCAAAAGATATTAACCATCCTTGGTTTAAACGCGGCCCCGTAGGCAAAAATAAACTTTGATCTATAATGATGAGAATGGCTAGTTCAGTTGGCATTACAGGCAAATGTTTAACAAACCATTCAGCTAGAAAGACCGTGATTCAATGTCTACGCTCCGTTGGTGTTGCTGGGACTGAGATAATACAGATTTCGGGACACAAAAACATGCAGAGTGTAAACAATCACTCTAGTATCACAACTGTACAGCACCGTCAGCTGAGTAACGTCATTTCTTATGATGGTGACCTTGCCCTTCCGCAAACCATGCCGTCTCAATCCAATGCAGTCACTGCTAGCAGATCACTGACACCAACTTCTGCTCGTTCTGAGTTTGTAAACTCAATATTCTCTGCCCCAATCTATGGTGGAACAATTAACATTAACTTCTGTAGCAAACCACTGTCAGGTCGAGGGAAACCTGAAAATTCCACTGCTCGCCCAATCAACATGTCAAGTGACGGTTGATAGTATGTCGTGCGGGGTGATGTGACATAAGTTGCAAATTGATAGTTCGTATTTATTCTATAATGAGAAATGTTTGATTCACATTCCTTATCATTCCTATGATTTCATTCAGTCTTTTAAAACATTTTCAGCTGATTTGCATTAGTGAAAACAAGTAAACGTGTCTTTATGAAAAATGTTTAGCAACATCAAAATTATCTTTGTTAAAATTTTGCTTGCAAAGTAACATTTTTCCATTTTCTATTTATACATGCATCCATTTCCAAAACGCAGTAGAATGATTCTGTTGGGTATAAAGACAGCCTAGAATGGATGATACGATACACAAGTACGAGAAATATACCACGATTAACTGACTGACTGACTGAGTTTAGTTGTACGCCGCTTTTAGCAATATTCTAGCAATATCACGGCGGGGACACCAGAAATAGGCTTCACACATTGTGCCCATGTGGGAAATCGAACCCGTTCTTCGGCGTGACGAGCCAACGCTTTAACCATCAGGCTACCCCCACCGCCCCGCCACGATTAACAGCTGAAGAGAGCAAGAGCCATTGTAATGGTGCAGGTGGGGTCGACATACAATGCTGTTGGCAGGGCCCTCGGATGCCACCGTATCATGGTTATAAGACTTGTTCAGGGCTTCAGACAGACTGGGATCACCGTTGACAGACCAAGAAGTGGACGTCCATGCATCACAACGCCAGCTGAAGATAGGTACCTCCGTCTTTAAGGAAGGAGGGTAACGTTTCTTTGGCGTTTAGTGTATTTTACTGGCGCTGCTAACATCCGTGTCCTGCACTTCAAAATGGACAACAGCAGAGAGAGGGATTGGATTAATTGATGATACACAACCTCTGAAAGTCATCTGTGTATATATTGAAACCTATTTACTGACAAAATTGATGCAATCTCCCGCTAGTTTTATATATTATTCATTTCTTTTATATGATATTATAAAGGGCATCAGTTATTTTATACATCGGAAGCATTTTTAGATATGTGACAGAAATACACTACTGGCCGAAAATCCATGCCAGAGCTTAACCCATGGCTTCGTCACACGGCCTTTCTTAGAAATCAGTGCTTAAAGTGTACCTGACCATTGATTTAACTTTGCACGTCAGTAGATATTTGAACCGAAAGTAGATTTATGCTCATTGGGAGCCATGATTTGATTATTTGCAAGTTGTAGGCGAAACAGTCAGCAGTACATTGGTTTTTTCATGGACAACATTCAGCATTATATTGTTATAGTTAACATGCATGATGTCAGAAACAAGAACTGAATATCATCTTGCCTTTGTTAGGTACTCCACCAATGACAAAAACTCAACAATATCAGTTTAAAGATATCTGAATATTGTCCTGCTTCTTCAAAAAGAACCCAAAATCGATACATATAGATAACAGTCTCTTTCATTACAGACAAAATATATCTCACACATTTAACTGGTAAAACGCCAATCAATATTCTTATAAAACGGGAAAAATGGGCGATATTTATACGATTGGGCACACCTTGTATCTCCTCACATTTTATCATCCTTCCGGATGAGCCATTAAAGTCATCTGGGTTCAAGAACTGACAGTGATATCACTATCTACTCGAAACTAACATGGAGCCACCCCGTCACGGTCATACCCTTATGCGCACATTGAATAGCTGTTTTGTATTTTAAACACACAATCTTTGTCATTAGTCAGAGAGTACCTGGTATTCGACTACGTGAAGGAATTATCTGTATCATTAGGTGGACAGGGAGCACTTTCACATGAAAACAAGAATGGCAAGCTTGTGAAAGGTAGGCAAACGCAGTTGTCCTGAATCACGTGAGATAGGTTCATAATTATCAAGAGTTGATCTCATACAATCAGTTACGAATAACACCAGTTTCACCTTGTATATAACTCATGCAGTTTGTTTGTCGTAAAACTCAACAAACACAGACCTGATCTACCCAGCACAGAGTAGTAGAAATTCAAAGAAAACATTAAACATTACACACACTGAATGGAATGAGCATGAATCTGACGACCAAGGTTGGTTGATCTTGTTAAACCAGAACCTACAACCAGGTTGATTACACAACTGTTGCAAACAGCAAACATCATGTGAACATCATACTTACTCTTGTGGTGAACGTGAAGTGAAAGGTTCCACCACATTTATTGGTTCGTGGACGATCTTCCGAGTCTTCGTGTCCAATCCGATGACCATCCCGTCTCCTGCAACAACGCCATCATACCCACCTACAGACAGGTCATATATCTGCACTCTGAAGACATGGAGTGGCGACCAACCACCATGAGAGAGAAAAACCACAAACTACATATCTCGTACACATTTAGGGTAGAATAACTGGGTATTGGTGGCATATTTACCTCCTGTCTCGTTAATTCAGAAAGGCAATCATGAATATCAAACAGGGGTTATCTTAAAATCACTGTGACTAGTGTATTCAAACCTTTGCCACAAAACCAGAAGCCTTCACTGGTCATAGTGAGAGAGACTTAGCACCCTCAAACAGTATTTCAGAAATAGTTTCCAATCACTAAGTTGAAGTTTCACTATCTTTAATTAAGCGTAGAATGAACCTAAGACTTCGGTGTCAGTTTTATACCAAACTACCCAAAAGCTTCTCTGTATGCATTCAAGGCGAAGCTAAAACTAAAACAGAAGCTATGCATGTATTATCATCCGATAATCTGAGAAATACGCCAACACTTTGTCAAGGACGAATCCGTGACATCTCAACTCATCTCACCACAGGCTGGTGTTTCATTCAGTATCGACGGGAAGGTCGTGGTTAAATAATCGATACATATGACATTGCTCCTTTTTATAACTCAAGCTATGCATAATTCTAAATGTTTCTTTGGACGATCATTTTGCAGCTGGGTAGTATGCATCCAACGTCAGAGTTTCGTCAGAAATACTTTTGTATCAACATAAGATTCCATCAACTCCCTACTGTATAATGTATTGCAGTCATCTCACTGATGAAAGATGGTTCAACTATATCGGCAAACACTGTGTATCAGACCAGTAACAAAGCTCTGCAAGCAGATGCTACTGACAGTATCCTGGTTCATACCTTGCTCTTCTACTAAATATCGATCAAAAGATTATTTGTGATTTCCTATGCATTAACATCAGTGCATATATCTGTTGAAAATCAGTGGACAATACACATTGGGAGATAGGAATGTCGATGACCCCGTCATACGTAACTGCCTGGCGCTCGGAATAACGGGGATAAAGATAACACTGGTTACATCGGAGTCAGTTGACTGTGTCTGATTGTGGTGTCCATGTTAACTGCGACATGATATGTCAGGAGCTAGAACAATAAGTCAGTCTCAAGTTGGAACTTCTACAAGCAGAAACACATGCATTCAAGCACGTCTCTGTATTAGTCAAATGTCAGTAGTAGTGAGTCACAACATGTTTGTTAAGGCAGAACCACAAGAGATACATGTATTTAAGTCTTATAACGTATCATTTCCCACGTGTATATAAAGACCATAGTGTGCTTCTGTCAGCAATCACTACATCCCCCAGCCCCAGTTCTCTGCCCACAGTGTCAACATTGATGCGCAAATATGTTCAAAACCAGTGGGCAAAACACATTACTTTGAGCGTCTGTCCGGAGAGAGGAATGTCAGTGGCCTCGTCACATCTAACTAGTGTACCTGGTTAGATTGGAGTCAGGAGACTGTGTCTTAGTAGGGTATCTGTGTTAATTGCGATATAAAATCTCAATAAAAGACATATGAAAGGCATAAGTTGGGACTTGTACACGATGACGCATTCAGGTATTTCTGTCCCATAACATCTTTTCTCACCTGCGTAGATAGCCACTTTTATATCTCCTTCAGCCTCCACCACATCCCCCAGCTCCAGTTCTCTCCCCGTACGGTCAACAACCATCTCCCTGGTGGTCGTGTGTACAGAGGAACTTGGGATCAGGTTACGTGGTGTATCTGGAGTCACACATGAACAAATGCAGCTACGTCACTGAAAGATCATCCAAATCTATCACTGTAGACGGTCATACTCCATACCCCCAGGAATCGCATTTTGGTAAACCTTTACTTACCCCTGGATGCATTACCCTGGTACTTATAATCTCAAATTACCCATTCTACGGTCCAATTTACTCATTCTGATTGACTAAGCTGCTAGGTCCTACATACCAATCAGAATGCGATATATAGACCAGCCTCAATGTTGGGGTGGCAATGTAAACAACATTGCGTCTAGAACTATGAATTATGATGAGGTTTGCGAGAAATTCAATGATTGGCACGCAAAAAAGAAATCCTTAATATTATTTTGATGTAAGAATGTCTTCGTGTCCTTTAACACTGGCTGTGGTGACAGTTGTCGCAATGTAGCACAAGTTACCTCCCTTACCCTTTCGTTTCAGTTGTGTTGACGTGTGATTGCATTCGTGACTCAACTCGTGTTATTCCAGTAGAAGCCGAATAGCCACTGGTGCCTCTCTGGAAGGATTTCATATTGGCGCATGAACATCAGAACTACTTTAGACAAGAACGATAACTCTATCCCTCTTTGATTCCAATGTTTCTAAAAATCACATGTACATTGTATTGCTAGGTTGTTGTTTTGGGTTTTTTTTACTTATCTATTTTAAAGAATTAAACGTCTTTGATACAACTAAAAGAAGGAGAAAACGTATTTGTTAAAGACATACTGTATTCTATTGTAATCATTACCAGCTGTTCACCTTTATATTTCCAATTATGTTAATTTTCTTAATAGGGTTTAATTATCACAAAAGGGAATTGTTTTATTGAATAGACAAAAAAAAAGACAAAAAAAAGAATTCAACTACATTAAATCCCAAAGCAGATACTGGAATTTCAAATGATTTCGCTGAAAAAAATTGAATGACCAAAAAACAGTCAGACTAAAATATCCCCAGAGCTATGAAATATAAGCCCAATGTTAAAGATTAAGGTTGATTAGTTACATACAAATACGATATTATTGTTTTGAAACTCGTAGCGATTTATAATTACATTTCCTAAAATTGGTCGAAGCGCACGTACAATCTCCATAACAAGCCCGCAAGATCATCAGAAATACACCAAGTGGGACCCATGAGAGTAGTTATGTGAAAAACGCACGTGCGTGTATTTGAATCTCTCTCCGTCAATCGCATGATTCTTATTAAAATTCTTCATAAAGGCAGCAAAATCCTTTTAGCTTCCTTCTTTGTACTCTTCAATATGACGATATATTTTTCATGATTCTTTAAACAATGACCGCATAATGCCATAACCGATTTAAGTACTCGGGATTATTTTTATCAGAGCACCGCGCTCATTTACACGCGTTCTGGAATGGTTTGTCGTATTTTCGCACATAAAAGTATCGAGTTGGGGACGAGTCTTCTTGGACGATTACGGAAGAGGGTGAGCAATGACGAATGCGCCAAATTTTCTGGTAGCAGCCGAGACCCGTTTTGAGATTTCCACGATTTCCAGATTTCCGTTTGTCACAACACGCTCTACGATAGAGCACGCTGCACCACGTGTTGGCAAGGATTAGAAGAACCGTAGAGTTGCAATATACAAGTGAATAGATGTATCAAATAATACTGATTGATATTTGTATATCCAGTTGATTGAGTTGGTCTCACAATTCTGGACTGGTTATTGTACTAAGTTGTGCAATAGGACGGAACCCAGTCAACAGGAAATAAGGCTGTTGTGTACTCAATGTTTTGACTTGAGAGACTGCACCATAAAGCCCCTGTCTGCCACGATGATATCTCATGCCCTACATACACTTGACATGCATAAGTCAGGGTCAGAGAATATGGCGAACTAAACTTTTAACACAACTCAAGTGGTGAATCAAGCTCGGTCTAAAGTCCTACTTTTAATTTTTTATAACCATATTAAAATAACCTTAGATCTGCGGGTTTTTCATACTTTATTCACATACAACAACGTAAATTGACAAGCATCTGCACTTCCAAACAATCTTTGATTTGCAAGTTGCATGTTTAGTGTACATGTGACCATTCAACACCAGCTTCGAGCCACCCTTGTTGGTCTGAATGACTTCCATGATGAAATGGTTACTAATGTTTTTCGCTAGTTTTCAGGAATACATCTATATACCCCCAAAAAGCCAGTTTGTTTTTTAAAACATTCTTGTTGTGAACACTAATTATTCTTTGATTCATTCAGCTAAAATTGTATTATAATTGTCGAGTTCATTGATTCAATCACCTAAAATCACATTATATTTGACTAACAGTACTCAAGCTAAATCCTGGATTAGATCTGCTCAATTGAAATATCATTGTTCTTGGGTAACTTAAGTTATTTTAATCCATGTCTTTATAGTCACTATACACAAGCACTTTTATGTTTCTTTACAGTAACTTTGATGTCAACATCAATTTAATCTGTTTTTTGCAATAACTATTTTTCTGGAGGACTTTTTGTCGGTACTTTTGACCAAGGACTTTTTTTCCGAGGACTTTTTTTTCCTATCATCGATATAAACAGCTTCACAGATGTGTTTGAATGGACCTAGAAGTACCGAGAAGAACCATCTTCGTGCCTTTGCTTCGTAAAGAAACAATTTAAAAGTATAGCTTATAAAAAGGTATGACACTGTGACATAATATTCTGAGATATACCTCGATGCGTGCAAGTGTTATCATTGTAGAAGTTCACAGTTCAAAGTCTATTTATAGACACAACAAAGAACTAACTTTAGGACTTCTTCATTATTGCGTCGTATTAAATACACATCATAATACACAATATGTATTCTAAAATTCAGTGTGCAGTTAAAGTTTCTAATACTTCAGTGTCAGAGTTCTTTGATTCATTTAGTGGTGTTCGTCAAGGGTGTATTATTACCCTCATTATTATTGTTATTTTCCATGTTTATGTTAGAACTGCAAAGCATGATAGAATCATTTGTACCTTAAGAGGTATATCTGTTGGTCAAGAGTTTATGGAAATTAGTGGTGGTCCGATTAATTGAAATAATCGAAGATTGGTCGCAGTGACTAAACGACCAAGCAATTGATCATGTTTTAACATAATCGAACACAAACAATTCTGGAACACTTGTTTTCATCAACGAATATTTTTCACAAGGTTGGTTTTGTCTGTTACATTTCATAAGCACTACAAGCTCGTTCCAAGCCATGATTGAATTTATCTTAAAGACACCAAGAAATTTATGTTCCTAACACACTAGTCATCCTTTAAAGATGTGAAATTTTGCCCAAAAAGCTCCAGAGTAACTACATGTTTGTTTCCTTATTTTTTTGTGCATAAACAAATTTCATAAATGACGCTAACCAATTATTTTAGATGATTGATCGGTGGTAATGAACCAATCATCAATTATGAGATTTTAACCAATTTCCAACATTAATGGAAATAATGTTATTATTATATGCGGATGACTTGTGTTTAGTTGATGATAGGGTCATTGGTTTGCAGTGGAAGATAGATATTCTTGATAGTTTCTGCAATAAGTGGGTCTTCAGGTTAGTTTAGATAAAACAAAAGTTATGGTTTTCAGAAATGGTGGTTATATTAAGACATTATGAAAAATGGTTCTTTAGTGGCTCTCAGATAAAGGTTACTACTTATTACAATTATTTAGGTATTTTGTTTTCAAATAGATTGTCTTGGTCAAAGCGTGTAGATACGTTAGCTGTCAAAGGTAATAAGGCTCTACTTTTCTTCAAAAAGTTACTTTTTAAGTTCCAAGGATTGCCAGCTAATATTTCATTCAAATTGTTTGACATTAAAATTAAACCTGTGTTATTGTATGGTGCCGAAGTTGGGGAGACAGATATCCAGTGATAGAATCAGTTTAAGCTAATTTCTGTAAGTTTGTGCTAGGGGTTAGCAAATATAATTGTAGTAATACTGTTTTGGCGGAGTGGGGTAGACATCAATTGTATGTAGATTATCATGTTAAATGTGTTTAGTATTGGTGCATTTGGTGTATTTGAGGATGGATAATAGTAGGTATCCCAGGCAGAGTTATCTTTTAATGAAACAACTCGATGAATCTGGCAGGACAACATGGTCAAGTGGTGTAAGGCAATTACTTTTCAGTTTCGGACTTGGTGATGTGTGGCTGTTTCAGGATATTGGTAATGTGGATATGTTTTTAATGCTATTTAAGCAACGCATATGTGAATGTAATATACAGGTAATTTTTAATATCATAAGTACATCTGATAGGTTAAAATATTATCTCCAGTTAAAGTCATATTTTGATACAGAATGTTATATCATGATTATTAGAAACTCGGAGTTGAGGAGATATTTATGTTTGCTTGATCAGACGAGAGTTACCTATTCAAACAACTATTGGTCGTAGGCAGGGTATAAATAAATGTTTGTGCTTCTGTAAGAATTGTAATGATAATGTAGTTGAAGATGTTATACACTTTTGTTTGAGTGCCCAATGTATAATTTGATAAGGAGAAAATACATACCATCTAGATTTTCTGATAACCCTACTATTTATTCTTATAAGTTACTAGTATGCAGTAAAGATCATGAAATTATTCTAAATGTAGCAAAATATGTTAACCATTGTTTGCCTCTCCGCAATGTATAATCATTGTCACTTTCACTATATCATCATATATTATTGATCAATGATGGTCATGGGCCGATGGACTAAAAAACGAATAAACAATATACTATGTATGTATGTTGAGGTACAGTAATTCAACAAGTGTACTTTATATACTGAATACGAACACTTGGGTAATCATCGTTAAGTGTAGTAATTTTCGAATGCCAAATGTTCTGTCAAGGACAGTGGAGAGTGCCAAGGAGACACAGCTATCACAACTGGGTTTATAGATTGATAATATATTCACCAGTAAATGGGACCCTTTTTACATCTGAAATACACAATAAATCAACAAATAATGTAACTTGATATAAACAATAAC